TTGTAACACTCCAAAGACAAAGGAAAACATGAAATCGCATCATATGACCCCTTTAGCATGGGGAGTCTATGGGATTGCCTCCCTTTTGCAGCCAGCCTCTAGCGGCCAGTCGATGAATTACAGTTTAAGTCACTTCCTTGTTGGCTTCACGAGAGAGAGCGGGAGGTTGCCGCTCGGTGTGAACACACCCTAAGAAAGAGGAGCAGGAGAAAGGACTCTCCAATATTATGCATTTAGACTGCAGTACTGATTTCAACCACTAGCTGTCTGTATTGCATACTGCACTTTTAGTAATTTTTAAAGGTGACATATCATAAAAATCTGACTTTTCCAGGATTTAAGTGCTATAATCAGGTCCCCGGTGCATCTACCAACCAAGGAAACGTGAAAAAGATTAACCCAGTAACTTTGTTTTGGGAAGCCTTTTTCTGCAAGCGTCTGAGAAAACCAGCGTCTGATTTCGCTCCCTTGGTGACGTGGCAAAGGGATCTCATTATAATATTACCGCCCCTTAATCTGTAAGTTTACACCCACGGCGCCGTTATTTTGATTTCACAAGCGACAGCGGTGCGCTAGTTCTAATGCCATGATGAAAGTTTGAACAAAGCATGCTAACTGTTCTGTGTTTGGCTGCACAGACGAGCACAGAACACTGTTTAGAGTCCCAGCCTCAGAGACAACAGAGCAGTGCGTGAGTATGTTTGTGTCCTTGTGAGTGTGTATGTGTGAGTGTGTGCGCGTGAGTGTATGTGAGTTTGAGCGTGTGTGTGCGTGCGTGAGCGTGTGAGTATGAGTGAGTGTGTGTGAGTGTATGTGAGTTTGAGCGTGTGTGTGTCTGTGAGTGTGTGTGTGTGAGTGTGTGTGTGAGTGTGTGTGTGTGTGCAGTATGTAGGCCAAACACCATGAGTGAAATGCGTGTTGACGCGCTGCACTCTGGGCGAGTTCCTCATGGCAGATGGGTTATATACAATTAAACCTCGGTAAAAATAGCTGAATGCTGTGTGAATGAGCAGAAGAGCAGGTACTGAGAGTGATTACAGTGATGATGATGATGATGAGGAGGAGAGAGACAGGAAATGATCACACGTGTCCTGATCATGCAGGGGCTGATGGGATTATTTACCCATAAACCCCCACTGCATGCATGAGTGTGTGTGTGTGTATGAGTGAGTGTGTGCGTGTATGAGTGAGTGTGTGCGTGTATGAGTGAGTGTGTGCGTGTATGAGTGAGTGTGTGCGTGTATGAGTGAGTGTGTGCGTGTATGAGTGAGTGTGTGCGTGTATGAGTGAGTGTGTGCGTGTATGAGTGAGTGTGTGCGTGTATGAGTGAGTGTGTGCGTGTATGAGTGAGTGTGTGCGTGTATGAGTGAGTGTGTGTATGTGTGTGCGTGAGTGTGTGTATGAGTGTGTGTGTGTGAGTGTGTGTATGAGTGTGTGTGTGTATGAGTGAGTGAGTGTGTGTGTATGAGTGAGTGTGTGTGTATGAGTGAGTGTGTGTGTTACTCGTTGAGCGCGGTCAGAGCGTGTGTGGACTGTGATTCGCTCTCGTCCTGCTGCTAATGACTCGTTAATCGTCCGTTCAGCAGATGAACATGTGTCCGGATTCGCTCCGATATGAATCTGATTCCAGGTACGTGAGTCTTTCTGGAGTTCAGTCAGAAGATCTGCTGTGTGTTTGCTGCAGTGAGGCTCCAGTGATCGCTGTGTCGTGATGTTCCTCCTGTGATCAAACGGTTCTGTTCTTATGAGTGATTCTGAATAATCCTGATCGGTGTACTCGACTGGTTTACAGTGACTGTCTCTTTATTACCGCTGTGTTTAGTCTCAGTTCACGGGCAGATTGAAGATTGGAGCAGATAGGAGAGAATATGAGAGAAACAAACTCAATCAGGAGCTCAATTACTGTCACAGCATCAGATTTCCAGCTACTAAACTCTGCGTGTTATATGAATGAATCAGAAACACTGGATAGAGACGGACTGATTCATCAGACGGGCCGTTAATCACATGATGAATGGCTGTTCTGACATTATTAGCATCATATGAATACATCTTTGCTTTATTAAAGGGTTAGTTCCTCCAGAAATCATCATTTTCTATCATCAAACCTCTATGAGTTTCTTTCTTCTGTGGAACACAAAATATTTTGAAGAATGTTAGAAGAACTGAACAACATTGGACCCCATTGACTTAAAAACACTGAGACATTTCTCAAAATATCTTCCTTTGTGTTTCAATGTTGAATAACATGAGGGCGAATACAATGAATAACTTTATTCTGTTGTATTTATTTGTGCTGTTGCTTGTAATTTGTTTATCAGTTATTATTTTATCACTTGTCTTGAACAGTGGTTGAAATTTATATTAGTTAGGCTAAGGCTAGTCGGGTTTGCTGTGCAACCAAAATTGGAATCAAGAAGTGTGAAATTTTATTTATTTATTATTTATTTGTTTATTCATTCATTCATTCATTTTTAATGTATTTATTTTTATTAATTTATTAATTTTTATTTTTTATTCATATTTATTTATTTTTATTCATATTTATTTGTGCATATTTTATTTAATATTTTAATGTATTTTTTGTGTATATTAATTTATTTATTTGCATTGTTTTTTTGTTTTTTTTCCATATTTATTTGTGTATATTAATTTATTTTTTATTCATATTTATTTGTGTATATTTATTCATTTTTATTTTTTTATTTATCATATTTTTTTGTGTATATTTATTCATTTTTATTTTTTTATTTATCATATTTATTTGTGTATATTTATTTATTTATCTATTTATTTATTTTTTATTCATATTTATTTGAGAATATTTATTTATTTATTTGTATTTATATATATATATATTTTTTTTTATTCATATTTATTTGAGAATATTTATTTATTTATTTGTATTTATATATATATATATTTTTTTTTATTCATATTTATTTGAGAATATTTATTTATTTATTTGTATTTATATATATATATATTTTTTTTTATTCATATTTATTTGAGAATATTTATTTATTTATTTGTATTTATATATATATATATTTTTTTTTATTCATATTTATTTGTGCATATTTATTTTATTTTTTGTGTGTATATTTATTTATTTATTTTATTCATATTTATTTGTGTATATTAATTTATTTTAAATTTTTTATTCATATTTATTTGTGTATATTTATTTTTTAATGTTTTATTCATATTTATTTGTGCATATTTATTTCTTTATTATTTGTATTTGTTTTTGGTGTATATTTATTTATTTATTTGTATTTGTATTTTTTTTTTCATTCATATTTATTTGTGTATATTAATTGATTTTTATTCATATTTATTTGTGAATATTTATTTATTTGTATTTGTATTATTTATTTTATTCATATTTATTTGTGCATCTTTATTTTAATTTTTTGTGTGTATATTTATTTATTTATTTGTATTTTTATTTTTTATTCATATTTATTTGTGTATATTAATTTATTTTAACATTTTTATTCATATTTATTTGTGTTTTTTTTTTTTCATATTTATTTGTGCATATTTATTATTTTTATTTATTTTTTGTGTATATTTATTTATTTATTTGTATTTGTATTTTTTTTTTTTTATTCATATTTATTTGTGTATGTTAATTTATTTTTTATTCATATTTATTTGTGTATATTTATTCATTTGAATTTTTTTTATTTATCATATTTATTTGTGTATGTTTATTTATTTTCTTTTTTTTTGTGGTGGATGCAGTGAATATTTTGCCAGGGCAAACACAAATCGGTCTCTGCTCTGAGATCAGTCTGTCAGCCGGTGAATCTGGCGTGTTCGGGGTTTTGTCGTCTGCAGCAGGCGGCGGGTGGAATGCGATCGTATCTGTGACGTGTTTGTGAACGGCTGCTGAAAATAGCTGGCCGGCGGGCGTGTTCTGAGAGCAGGAAGCTGGTGAAGGTCCAGGACCTGTGTTTGCACTGACAGATGGTGTGAGGACGAACAGAGCCGGGTCTCCAGCTGACGGTCAGTCGGGCCGCGGGGGGGCGAGCGGTGCCGGACACGAGCCGCGGTGACTGGCACACACACACTGGTGCATTGTTTGGATGGACTGATCTGCTGAAGACACGTGAGTAAGAAGAGCTCCAGCCTGACGCTCAGACGCTCAGTGTGTGTCAGATTCATGTTCAGAGTCAGTCATTAGTTAGTTTGAATATAGCTTTCACTGCATTGATCTGTTTGTTTGTCAACTTCTGACTCCACCAATCACCTGAGTTTGGGGCGGGACTATCTGTCTGACTGACCAATGACAGAGTGTTTGATGAGCAGTCTTTATTTGTCCAGTTTGTTTTGGTGACACAGAAATGACACATTTCACTCTTAAAGTAGTTTTTCTCCTGTCTGGTGCGAGTCCTCGTTTCTATGGGATGTTCTGTTCTGTTCTGTTCTTATGAAACACTTTTAATATAATTCATCAGTCTGACTGTAAGCCGGTTTGGGTCACATTCATATAAAATTCATCTTTTGTTTGTCTCATCCAATCAGATTTCAGAGTCTGAATGATCTGTTTAATATTAATGATGCCGCACAGTCACTCTCAGCTGATTGGAGGAATAAAATCCCACAGTAATCGCCAGATAATCATTGTGATTGTATCTTCAGGTGAACCGGCTGAAGACTCCGTCAGTCCTGGTTTTCGTTTCTCTCCTGATGATCTGTATTTGTGTTGAGCTGTGAATGGTGTGAAGTTCTGTTCTGCTCTCGTGTTTGAGCGTCGCAGGAGCCTGTAAGCGTTCTCTAGTCTTTGTAATCCAATTTTCAGCCTGTCCGTCCTGATCTGGGTCACGGGTTACAGCTGCTGACAGCCCCCTTCACGAGCCGCCCGCCGGCCCATAATCCCTCAGTCCCCGCAGACTCCTCACACTCCTCACGCTCCTCTATAGAGCTCATGTGAGACTGAGATGCTGCTTCAGAGCTTTCTCTTTCAGAGCTCAGGAGACTTCACAGAGCTGAGACAGACGGTTCTCCCAAAATAATAATTGATAATAATAAAAATAATAGGGCTGGGCAAAAAAAAGTATTTTTCGATTAATCGTTTTTTTAAATGACATCGATTCGATATCGATTCTCAAAAGCCGCGAATCGATCTTTTCCGGGATTTATTTCAGCACACATTTAAAACAAGATCTGATTAACGTGAATCTTATCATTAGTCTTCTCCACTAGATGTCACCCTTATTTACCTTGCGCGATGTTACAACAGAAAGCCTGTCATTCATTCAGCGCTTATCATGGCCATACGCATGATTCGCAATGCTCAGGTGAAATGCTATAGTAATACTATAAATCTGCGGAAGCATTTGATATCACGCATAAGGCGCCATGATTTCCGCAATGAATGAATGAATGAATGAATGAATGAATGTTGTTTACTACACACATACTAAAGCGCGGATGACGCTCGCGGTGTTTTCAGCTTCTGCCATCTCACTATATGATGATATGAACACAAATGTCATCTCCAGCTGCTCTGAGAGTCACTTCATTAGCATTTTACCGTTTCATTTGAGAAAACTACCATCATATCACATACACAGCAGCTGCAAGTTCTTCACGGCAACCCGTCAAAATAAAAGTTTAGTTTAACGTTAAGAAACTGCCAGAATATATTACTATTTAGCAGTCTGAAGAATCAATGCTACTACTGCTAATAAATATTAATAAATCTTTATTTTTAAAGGAATAATCACATCTGTTTTCTTTTTAATTTTAACAGTAAACCTCTGTTGTGCAGCACTTTGCTTGCC